TATATATTAATATGCCCCTCTTATTGACATTTGGGCTGCTTCCATAATTTGGCTATTGTAAATAATGCTGCAGTAAACATAGAGGTGCATATATCTTTTTGAATTAGTGTTTTCGTATTCTTTGATTAAATACCCAGTAGGGGAATTACTGGATCATATGATAAGTGTAATTTTAATTTTTTGAGGAACCTCCATACTGTTTCCCACAGTGGCTGCACAAATTTGCATTCCCACCAACAGTTTTGCATGAGGGTTTCTTATTTTTTGCTTAATGTAACTTATAACTTTGAATTTTTTCTTTATTAATTTTTTACTAAGTCTCACAAATTTGAACATATACTTTATTTAATTTTTAGTAATTTGTGTATTTTTCCCATGTTTCTTCTTTAATGTAAAGATACATTGATAATATAGTTTTAAATTTCCAGACATGCAAGGTTTATTTTTTAGTTTTACAATTGCTATTTTTAATTTTGTTGCATTGTGATAAGAGTGTATAGTGTTGGTGTTAATTCTTCGGAACGTATTGGGCTTTCCTTTTATCATAGATATGGCTTCTTTTGTGAGAGCTTTATATATACTTTAAAATAATCTGTATTTTCTATTTGGTGGATAGGAAGTTCTCCATAGAGCTACTATCCTAAGTTTGTTAATCATATTCTTCAGATTTTCTCATGTTTTGCTTATTTGTCTGCTTGATCTGTTTTTGAGAGGCTCTCATAAATTTTCAACTGAAGTGTTTATTTTTAAAAAATTGAATTTTAACATAAATACAGTAAAGTACAAAAATACAAGTGTACAGTCTAGTGAATTATCACAAAGTTGAAAGACTAATGTAATTACTACCCAGGTTGTTAAATAGCACATTATTAGGACCCTAGAACTACCTTTGTGGCCCCCCTCAATCACTAGAATCCAGTTATCTCCAAAGACAACCATCAGAGTTCTTACCCCATAGAGTCATTTGCTTGTTTTTAAATATGTTAATTAAATCATATAGTATTTTATTTTACATATATCTTGTAATATTATGTGAGAGTTATCCATAATGTATATAGCTATTGTTCCTTTTTTACTGTCTTGTTGTATTTCACTGAATAAAAATACATCTATCCATTCTACTGTTAATGGACATTTGTGTTATTTTTATTACTGGCCATTGTGAATAAAGCTACTCTGAATATTTTTGTCTGTATCGTTTGGCACATGGATGTCCTGCATTTTTTGGTTTATATTCCTAGGAATATATTCCTATGGAATTTATTGGTCAAAGTGTACGTGTATATTTAACTTTAGCAGATTTTACTAGTTGTGTCACACTCTTACCACTCCAGGTGTTATCTTTCTCATGTGGGTCACTATGATGGTGGGAATTAATATCACATTGTGGTTTTAGTTTTAATTCCCCTAATGACTAATATGGTTTTGCATTTTTTTTTTTAAATTCATTGGCCATTTTATCAAGTGTCTATTCAGATTTCTTGTGGATTTTCTATTAGGTTGCCTCTCTTATCCCTATTGATTTGTAAGAATTTATTATTTATTCTGGATATGAGATCTTTGCCAGTTGCAAATACTTCCTCTTATTTTATGGCTCACTTTTACAATCTCTTAAGCATGTCTTTTGATGAGCTGAAATTCTTAATTTTAATATATTTCAATATATCTTTCTTTTGTGATTAGTACTTTGTATGTCCCTTTTAAGAAATCCCGTCTTACACCTGTTGAAGAATATATTTTATGTTTTCTTCTAGATCAGCACTATTAGAGATATAATGTGAGCCAGAAATTTGTGTCACATATATAATTTTATTTATTTGTTTGTTTATTTATTTATTTATATATTAGGGAGAGAGGGAAAGAGAGAAAGAGTGCGGGGGTGTGAGGGGCAGACGGAGAGAGAATCTTAAGCAGACTCCATGCCTAGCGCAGAGCCCAACACAGGGCTCAATTTCACAACCCTGAGATTGTGACCTGAGGTGAAATCAAGAGTTGGGATGCTTAATGGACTGAGCCACCCAGGTGCCCCATGTACCACATATATAATTTTAATTTTAAGTAGGCCCTTAAAAAAAAATGGAGTGAAACAGGTGAAATTAATATGAATAATGTAATTATTAACAAGAGTTTTTTGTTCTTTTTCTAAAAACAAGATTTCAAATTCTAGTGGCTGTTTTACATGTATAGCACATCCCAGTTGGCCTAGTGACGCTTCAGAAGCTAATAATTACATGTATCTAATGACTATCATATATCCTATATCAACCCATTTGAGAAGCTTTAATGATATGCCATTTACATTTAGCTCTACCACCCATGTCCCTGTTTTGTGTGTGTGGCATGAGGTAGCATATCTAACAAGGAAACTATGTAACTTCTAGAATTGAAGGACGATCTTCAGGATCTAGAGCCAATCTGGGTCCCTTGGGAACGAAATCAGGCCTTGATGATTCTGGGAATTTGAAAGTGTCTCTCATCTCTGCATATTCTCTTTTATTCCATGAGGATTTACTCAACATGGCAGAGCACATGGCCACCAGTCGTTCTGGGTCACATCTTTACAACTTCCAGTAGTTGAGAAAAGATAAATCTCTTTCTATTTAGTAATGGCCTGGCTCAGGTCACGTTCCTAGACCTGGCAGCCAGGAAGAGGATTATTTTTGGCCAGATCATTACATGCCCATATATTTATAATCATGGGACAGAAATTATTACCAGAAAAGGGAAGCTACCACAGTATACCACATCTGGTTTCTTCTGTCAGACACTTTTAGAGAGCTGGGGTTATCCATTGTGCACAGAGAGCACTAGATAAATATTTGTAAATAGCACTAATTTGACAGGAATGCTTAAAATGAAGCCTGAGGCAGGAGGAATATAAATGCACTGGCTTAGAACTCATTTTTATGATAGATACACACATATTTGAAGACTGTAAATTCTTAGTTTACAAGTTTAGGACTGTTGATTATAAGGGTTTGTTAACATTGAAGGTAACTCAACATTTTCTTTGTAACTTGAATATTCTGCAAATTTGTGGGTGGTTGGAAGAGGTATGCCGTGCCTTGGTGACTATGTACAGCTTTGCAGAATTTTTGAATATGACTCTCATATGATAGTACAGTCCTTTTGGTCGTTAGTCGAACTTCAAGTTTTCTTCAGAATACTGCAAAGGAGGAAAATGTTATTTGATATTAAAAGAACATTTTTTCTTCTTTTAGAATTTATCTGACTTCCTGTCTGAGTGGGGTCACAGTCTCAATTTATTAGTTCAGTCATTTAGCCCAAAATTTAAAGTCAAAATGTGGTTCCATATGAGGTAAAGATGAAAAGTTATTCCCTGGGATTCCTAGTGTTCTACTTTTAACTCCTATTTCTTCAGCACTCATCAGTTCTCCTTTTGGGGAAACAGAGAACTCTCCCCTCACTTGTGTGACGGGAAGGAGAGGTAGGGAGAAGAGAAGTGAAGAAGACTCTTCCTTTAACTTCCTTTTTTTTTAGGAGTGTCAACAAGATTGAATGAGGGAAACTACCCATTTTTACTTTATGAAAGGCATTAACAACTGGGAAAACGTATGTATTTTGGCTGTCTAAAAACCCTGACTTCAGATACCCAAAGCAAATTAGATAGGATTTAGGTGGATAATATAAAAAGGAAATGACTAAAGGCTCAATTATTTGGATGGAAGAGCATTGAGGCGGTAGAATTTTCTCAGGTGCCAAAATAACAGAAATGGTTCTAACCTTCTCTGTGCTACTTTCCTAGTGGCTATTTCTTTCTTGCACCCTCCTGAGCTTCCCACTCCCCTCATCCCCACCTCTCACACACAAATTTTTTGTTTGTTATTCTTGTTCAGACATTTAGAAGTGTATTTAATGGTGTTTGTAAGTATAGCTTCAGGTAGCTTCCGATAACGTTAAATTCTCACTGACTCCGAAACCATCTATAAATACAGCCAAAAGTGATATCTAAGATTCCTTTTCTTTTGGTATTTGTGTTATGGACACTAGATTAAGAAAGTTAGTAGGGTTTGAAAATGTTTTGCCTTTCTTATTGTTTAAACATTTTAACATTAGCTTATATTTCCAATTCATTTATTATTTATAATCATGATATAACAATAGATCATACCCTTTAGAAAAAAAGTCATACATAATATCACACCTTCCAAAACTGCTCTTCTATGTATTCCTTTTCAAGTGTTTGCTGTATGCATAGTTTTATATCATTGTAATCATTGCTTAATTTTGAAATTAATTTTTTTTGGTAATGCAATGAAACAACATGCAAATGAAGAATATGTATCTTTTACTTAGTTTAGGAGATCACCCAGAGCTGATGAGAATCAGAAAATAGTTATTTTCTGTTTATTCCAGGTAGCAAGAAATCATTTTTATCTTTTAATGTTGAGTAAGTCTCACAATTGTTATGTGCATGACAGTGGCTACACAGACTCATCCTAGCTTTGTAAATACTAGATTTGCCTATATTACTCAGAGACCCCGCCCCCCCCCAAAAACTAAGCAGGAAACATGAAATCTAAAAACTTTTTGTCATAAACAATGCAGCTTTGGGTTGTGTTCTATTATCAAAGCAGTTGCATGTGAAATGTTTTACGCGTAAGTTAAAAAAGAAACTCCCTACAAAGCAGTGATCATTTCCTGTTTCATTTTTCATTTTCTTTTCGCGTGAAGAGCTTTTGTCCCTCACTAGGAGTTGCTTTTAAAATCTCTGGGAAGGTCTGTTCCGAATTTACTGCTTCTGGATTGGTTAAGATCCCTTTTAAGTGTGTGCTTTGTTCTCTGAAAAGCTTAGGTCAGTTGAGCAACATGCTGCTAATTTTTTTTTTTTTTTTTTTTTTTTTTTTTAAAGAGCTGAGTAATGCTGGAGCCTTCTCATGTGGCTGATGCAAACCTGGAGAATTTGCATCATCATTAAGCTGGAATAAGTTGGTGTGACAGGCAGGAGCTTAAATACCAGCCCCTGAGGAAGCTGAGCTGGTCTGTAATCATAGGGCAGTTAACAGCGGCCGCAGCGGCAGAGGTAGTCCGACGAGGTGGAGGAACGAGAGCACCATGAACACACAGGTGTTTCTGAGGGGTAATTAGATAGCTGTGGAGGAGAAAATACACCTTTGAGTTCTTACCTGTGAACACAAAAGCACTGAGCGAGACAGTCTGAAAGCCAAGAGGAGGAGGTTTGGTCAGTCACACCAAGAGACACCAAAGTTGAAAGTTTGGGTTTTTTTTTTTTTTCTTTTTCTTCTGTTTCATTTTTCCCGTGTGCCACTACAATGGTCAGAAAGCCTGTGGTGTCCACCATCTCCAGTGGAGGTTACCTGCAGGGGAATGTTAATGGGAAGCTGCCTTCCTTGGGTGGCAAGGAGCCACCTGGGCAGGAGAAAGTGGTGCTGAAGAAGAAAATCACTTTGCTGAGGGGCATCTCCATCATCATTGGCACCATCATTGGAGCAGGAATCTTCATCTCTCCCAAGGGCGTGCTCCAGAACACGGGCAGCGTGGGCATGTCTCTGATTATCTGGACAGTCTGTGGGGTCCTGTCACTATTTGGTGAGTGCAGCTTCTTCTCTGGGGGTATGTCTGTGGCGCTGGGCAGTTTGCTGTCTGGGAAAGCAGAGGGTAATTTTTCAGGAGTGAATGAATGGCACAGGCTACATCAGATTTTCTGATTTTTGTTTAAGTGTGCGAACTACCGAAACACAGTGTTCACTCTTGGCAGGAACCTAAATTCCACCAAGTTGCTTCCTGCAGCCCGTACTCCCTTTTCCTGACTAAAACAGACTGTTTTCTGACTTTCCCTGTGGCCATGAGAGCAAAAGCTAACTGATGACCCAGTAAAATACATGTGAACTTTCTGTACCAGGCAGTTTGCTTAGTTATGTATGTTTGAGGCATCTTGGCAGCCAGCATGCTGAATGAAACACCTGTGAAGTGAAACCCGGCGTGGCCTATTTAGGCACAGAACTGAGCATTCAGCAGAAGTGTTACGGTGTTTTTATTGCCAAAACAAACCAGGCGGGATGGGGTGCAGTCTTTTTCTTTTTAACTTTTGAACTTCGCGTGCTTGTCAGTTCCTAATATTTTCTCAAAAGTCCTTCCCATGATACCATGTGTGGTGGCACATAACTCGATTCCTGTGATAAGTGGGAATATTGCAAGGGTCTGAGCATATTTCAATTTTTTTTTCAATCTTTCATCTCTCCCTAACACCTATAAACTCTTGCAATATAAATAGGAAAACTGGAATTGGGTGTTAGCTTGCCATGCTTGCCCAGATCTGTTTCCTTCATTTACAGTTCACTTGGTCTTCAGGGACATGGATAACGTGTCCACCTGTCCACTGAGTCAGTCTGAACAGAACTACTAGTAGAAGCATGATGATACAATTTTGCTTCAAAATCTACATCACTTTTATTGATTTGATGTTAATAGCAAAGAGGTAATAAATGCCTTTCATGGGCTGGGCAAATTACTAGAAAGCTACCTGAGTTAGTTATAAAGGTGACAAAAACTGGTGGAGGGTCAAAAAAATTAAATTTTGCTTACACTATGTGGTAAATGTCCAAGATATATTTGCTCTTTTGTAGCAACTAGTGTGTTTTAATTCTAAAAGGCTCTACTAACACAAAGCTTTGTCCTAACTCTAGGACTGAGTCTTAACTCTTGGTCCTACGCGTACCAATCCATTCATTCTTAAGGCCTTGTGATGTTTTAATGCATTCCTTTGGGTATTCATCTAGAGAACCCAAATTTCCATTATTAGGAAGAAGGTATTTCAAGGAAAACTTGTTAAAACAAAGCCTTAGTATAGAAAGATCTATAGAAGAATTATTTTTGGGTTTTTAAAAAGAGTTTGTGGTATTCTGTATGGTTCTGGCATGTACACTTATAGACAAAGAGAAACCTAATTGTTGCTCTTCTTAAATGACTTTGTGCACCCTCAGTCTTTAATCTTCTACAAATACTTGGTAAATTGAGAATACATCAATGTCTAGTAGGAAAAACCATAACCAATTTCCTGGACTTTTCGTACTTGTATACATGCAGCTCCAACTGTGTGATTTGATGTGTGTATGCAATAAAAGGTTATTTAGATATAGTAAAATGGATTGGGCTGAGGACTGAACTAGTTAAAATGCTATAATGCTATGAAAATGTGGTTCCTTGTAAGTATATCAACTCAAGCAGACACAGAGGGAAAAAAAAATTAAAAGGACTAGCTAAGGTTACACTTGAGTTTATATTCTTTGATTACTAATCACAGGGAGCATGCTCCTGTATTAATCTACTTATCTGTATTTACATTTTATTTGTCATTTAAGTTCCTAGGAGCTTTTTGACAGGAGTGCCTTCCTAACAGGAAGCAAAGCAAAATGTAAGGAAAACAAATCCTTTTTCTTAAAACTCTAGAACTCTGGGACTAAGGGTAAAGAATCTGTATATTTGGTTTACAATTTTTTTTTTTTTAAAGCCAGGGTCAATACATGGTTTTTTACATCCTGTTTTGAAGTTTTTTCATCTGGGTAAAATGGTTATGGCGCTTGAGACTTTTAAATGAAAATCTCATTCCTCTAGAACTCAATTTAAACCTAGGGCAACCATCCTGGAGTTTCAGCAAAGCATACACAGGTCTGGATATTGATTCTCTGGCAATAAATTCTGAGGTACTTAAGACTTTCCAATAACATTTTATATTGGAAGCTTTTTTGTACAGGCTACCAGCATGGCAACTGGTTTCCAACAGAGTGAATTGCAGCTAGTTACCATTATTTACAAATAGGCAAGCTATATTAGTGATCCTCAAATATCAATCTGCAGACCAGTTACTTTAAAATTATCTGTACAAATTTTAAAATAAAAGATTTCTTTGGATCCCTCTATTGGAGATCTGGACTCACTTGGTAGAGAACAGGTGTGGGGTATGGCCTTAGAATCTATTCTTTGTGTGTATTTAAGTAAGAAATTTACTTCCAGGTGATTCTGATACAGAGCTAGTTTCAGGAATAGGATAAATGATATTAAGATTTCACTGAATATCCAAATTTTCTCCTCTTGGACAGTTCTGCCTGAAGCTTTTCTGATCAGTAATAATTTCCCACACTTTTAGTGTCTGAAGTAGCTCTGCCAAAAATTGTGTTACATTTGAGTACTTTGCAGTATGAACAGCATTTTTCACATAGTATCAAGATGTATTTTTCATTTTCCTGATAGTTAATTGCTCAAATTAATAAGTATATTTCATGAGGTGTCCTTTGTGTATCAGGCCCGGTACTGTCCTTGGTGCCCATTATCACATGTATACACACAACTACCTTATGAGGTAAGAACTGAGATCTCCATTTTACAAGGAAGAAACGTAGGTTTGGGGAGGTTACATGGCTTGCTCAGGTCCATGTGAATCGTATTGCTAAATGTTGAAATTGCTAACTGTTTAAAATTAATTTTACCTAATATACATAAGTTATAGCATCTCTTTTTAAACAGTATTTCAACTACCCAGAAGTGTGCACTTCAAAAGAATCCAAGAAAACCTTTTCTAGAAATAGAACATTGGAGTCAAAATTCATTTTGTTGACAAACCATGTCCTACAAATTAAATGAGGTCTTGCAAGGCCTAGAGTCTATACTTTTCTGAAGAACAAATAAATCTTGTTAATTTTGATGTGCGACAGAAATATCATTTATTAAAAGGATTCTTAATTTTATGAGGTCAATTTGAGATAATTCCTTGTCTTGGTGTGTAGTTCCTTTAAAAATAGGTTAGCATTATTGGCATCTATCTTCTCTTTTTCTCAGGTTTGAGATTAAAAATTCTTAATAATATGATACTACTTTAGAAGTTTGTCTTTACCATTTCAAGTAAGATTACATTGTTTGAATACAATGAACTAGTTCTCAAATATGAGGAAGTTATAAGGAGAATTTGGTGGCTTCTAACAATCAGATGACTGTTTCTTCTCCTGAAATGAGGACCTCATTCAGACCAAATGATGTAGTAACATCTCATGTAACATAAACATTATTGTGTCAATTCTTCTATTGGATGACTTGGTAATATTTTAACTCTGTACCTTTTTATTATGTACATTTCACAGGAGCCTTGTCCTATGCTGAACTGGGAACAAGTATAAAGAAATCTGGTGGTCATTATACATACATTCTGGAAGTCTTTGGCCCATTACCAGCTTTTGTACGAGTCTGGGTAGAACTGCTCATAGTACGGTAAGAGCATAGATAAGAAAAATATTAAGGAAAAATAAATCCATTCATTACACTCTCTTTGAATCATCTTAATTATTTTTAATGGATTAGAACTATGCATGTCACGTGACTGTGTTGTAAACCTCTTTCAGGGTTTGAAGTCTGTATGAAATACCTCTGTCAATTAATGTTTTTAACGCAGTTTTGTCACTTGTAGTACTTCTCTGTCCATGCCAGACTTTTAAAGTTACTGATTTTCTTTACTGTTCAATTATTCTCTGACATTTTTGGAAAATATGTTGACCTGAAAGGAAACAAAGCATGAAAATCTACCTTGATAAATCATACCTTTTAACTGGCCAGACAAAATAAGTGCTATACTAGTAGTTGGGGTTTTTCTTCTTGTAGATTACATCGTCATTTAACTCTACTCAGTTGTCGTGACCAGGAAACTTCTGTGCCTAACAACTTAATGTGTCACTGAGTTTACTACTTTACAGAAAACAAAACAAAACAAAGCTCGAGTGACTCACTTCCTCTTGTCAGGCAAATCAGTGAACTATAGTTGTGAAAAAAAAAATTTTATTGCTGTAAGATAAAATTGGCTTGGCTTAAAATTGGCTTTCTAATTGGCTTGGCTTAAAATCAAACCAGATAATGCTAAGTCACTCTGAATAGCAAATTTCCTTTACCTTTGTGGGAAATCTGTGATGTCATATGAGAAGTGTAGAGTATCACAGTTCCTTAAGGCTAACTGCTACCATAATGTGACTTGCACATTCTGATTGCAGACTTTAACAGAAATAACTGGAGAAACTTGCTCTTACCATAAACTTATCAGACATATGCAGCAGAGAGCTCCTGTGAGCTTTTATCCTAACATTTTTCTAACAAAGAGCTTAGAGTAGTATTTACTTCTGTAAGTCTGTTCTCATTTTAGACAATTCTGCATTATTTTAAACTTGTTATAATGAAATAATGAGAAAGGAGTATTTTGGTTCTTTTCTAAAATCTGGGATTTGCCTGGGATGTACCTTCTGATCTTTTTTGATTTACTTGAATATTACTCTTCAAATGTTAACCTAAATCCTATCTTTTCCACAGTTCATTTCCTGTTCGCCCTAGTTTATATTTCTTTTCTCTCTTAATTCTTCTGAAAAAAATGCAGTCTGTCCTTATTTGACATTCAACACGATATCCTGTAGTCTTACTTAGTATTTCCAGGTATCTATGTTCTGTTTCCCCTATCAGAAATGCAGGCATTTTAAGTATATGAGACCAACTCTCACACTTTTTGAAACCATTATACTTCTTAATCAGTGTCCTGAGTATCACAGACAGTAAATTCTTTTTGAGCAGCAATATTAAATTCTTTTGAATAATTTAATTCTTTTTGACTGAAAGTTTAAAGTTATAATATTTTGAATACAACATTCCCAGCACTCAAATGAGGATACTACTTATTTAGAGTGCTGGCCTATTAGGATGGTGGGAGCCTGATGTAGCTGCATTTGAATCCCTCTTCAGCTGTGTATTTGTTGCATGGCTTTGGCTGATTGCTTGGCATTATAATGAACATGATCACTCTTTTCACAGTAGCACAGATACAGTGCTCATTCACTTATTTATTCATTCCTTAAACAGCTACTGAGTGGTGAATGGTAAGTTAAAGAGATCTAAAGTGGAAGGAGCCACAATTCCTGTTCCCAGGTAGCACATAATTAAACATTAGTTAACTGCAAGACAGCTGCTTCGTGGTGTGTGTGTGTGCCTGTGTGCGTGCGTGTGTGCGTGTGTGTGCGTGTGTGTGTGTGTGTGTACTGACAGAGGAAATTACCCAGATATATTCTAGAAGCTTTTTTTTTTTTGAAGGGTTCATATATTCCTTTGTAATAAGGGACTCACATTGCTTGGCTGGTCTTCCAAATAAGCAGAGTAATGAATGACTTGAGGATTGACAAGACACCTAGGTACTTTAATATTTCTCATCTGTTAACAACACCCATGGTGTCTAAATACTTAAAATGACGCTTCATACTTATCAGGAATAATCTGTAGGACACAGATTTCAAGAAAATAAATATCATACATCAGTACATAGCAGGGGTCTTTAGATTGAATTCACCTATTAACCATATATTCAAATGTTTATTGGGTTTCTACTTATGATAGATACTATACTAAACACTGGGGATAAAATAGTGATTAAGATGGACAGAGTCTGGAATTCATGGAGCTCAGGGTCACATGAGGGAAATAGTTATCAATCAAGAAATCACATAGTGAAGATAAAGTTGCTACTGTGATAAGCACCGTGAAAGGGAAGCCATGAGACTGAGTGAGCAAGTGTACTTACTCATAGAGCTCTCACCCAATCAGAAGGTTAAAGGAACTTCCTTGAGCAAAAAAAAAGATTGAACAAAGATATGGGTATAAAAAATGTCACTGAGTTGCAGGGGTTCCTGGCAAAGGGTATTCATCTCCTTCTAGTGGGAAGAAGCAAACCAAGAGGAAGGGAACGCTTAGACCAGATGGAGCCGTAACTGAAGGATTTTGTATATCCTGAGCATGTTTTGAAAGCACTAAAATGACGTGATCAGATTTTAATTTATACATTAAAAATTTGCAAATGATGTAGAATAGGAAAAATCATCTCTTGGGAGTGGAAGAGGGGAGGGTCTTTAGGAAAAGAAGAAAATCAAAAAAATATATGGTGCCGTCTATTACAAGCAAGCTAACGTTGGAACATAATGGTGGTTGGTTTTCTGACAATCTAGGGATTTAGCATGGGTGCTGAGTAACTATGAGAAGAGAAGCTGAAAGCGAAGATTGGCATGAGAAATTAGATAATTCCATGAACTTGCCTGTGTATTTAAAGAAGATGCATTCATATAGGAAATATATTTAAAGGCACATGCAATTTTCTCATAGAAATATTTGAAGAATTAAAGTAGAATGGTTTGTTACCTATTTTACTATAGACGTGAACTTATTTAATTTTCTTATCTCATGCACGTTTTCTCAATTGTATAAAATCACAACAACATTTTTATTTTTCAACTTATGCTTCGCATCTAAATGTTTCTATGAAACTAAAAATAATCACTGGGCTCTTCAAGTTTTTGTCTGTACTGGAAAAATAAGAAGAATATAATGTCAAGGACAAAAGCATATATTTGCAATGAGCAATTATTAATAATAGTTTTTGAAGTTGGGTTTTGTATTCATTTTCCTGACCATGCCCTGACTCAATAGTTCTCTACCCTTAACCTGTTTGTTCTGTGACTGGAGTTTAGTTGTTGACTTATTGAGAAGATGCTTCTTGTAAAGCTCAGCTCTGTTAGAATCTCAAATAGTAAACTAGATTTTTAAGAAAAAAAAAGTCAAATCTAGGAGAGCAGGGACAAAACTGATATCACCCAGTCTTGCTTCCATGGATAGGGGAAGTTTAAACTGGCCACCAAAGTTATAGGCCATATTTTACTTGGATTGTCTGTGACAACCTAAGCAAATAGGAAGTTTGGAAGATTATAGGCTTTTATATTTAACATGTTCTTGATGTTGAATAACATTACCTCAAGGTAGAATAAGTTTAGTGAAGATGCTATTTGTTTTTTCCTTTGTTAACCTAATTTTTTCTTTTCCAGCCCTGCAGCCACCGCTGTGATTTCTCTGGCTTTTGGACGCTACATTCTGGAACCATTATTTATTCAATGTGAAATTCCTGAACTTGCGATCAAGCTCATTACAGCTGTGGGCATAAGTGAGTATTGTAGGTATAAATATGAAAAGGAAAAAAAAAAGTGATTGATGACAAAGTATCTATGGACTTTTTTTGCATGATGGGACTGCTCTCCACATCCTGCTCTTTTGGCTTCAGTTCCTTGCCAAATTTGTGTTGGAAAATAAAAGAAGGATTCAGAGTAATCCCTGGAATCACATTACATGCCAGTTTTGCATTGGATCAATAGATATGATGTCTAACTTTTTGATGTAGGCAAACAAAAACCACCTTATTAGTAAAATAGTACACAAAAAGAGAATTTAACAGATGAAAACCCAATTATTTTATGGATTTTTGAATTAGAAATTATCCTTCCTCACTGATAATATGTTGAATGATAACTCACTTATCCTCATGTGTTGGGTGTGTATGTTGTGTTCATATATTTTATAGTGTTAGCAGACTGTCACTTTCAGTGTTATAGTTTTAGCTGCCCGTTCATGGTCATGATAAAAGTCTTTTAATATGTGATTATTAGTAGCACTTCTCAGATTAGGTCTCCAAATTAGGAATTTGTTCATTTTTATCAATGTGCACAAATACTAGACTTTTTTTTTTAAAGAAATAAAAAAGAGGAAAATACACAGCATTACATAAGTGATATGAAGCCAAACCTTTGGATATTATGGGAAACAATAGCTTAATTCTAGATGCTAATTGAATCAGTTCTAAGAATTAATATGATCACATTTGATTAAGTTTGAACTATTTGGAAATAGTAAATGACACAGGAGTAGCTGAATTGCATACTCAAGAAAAAAAATTCAGTTATGCCTGGCAAAAGTATTTCAGTAGAACTATGAAGAGAACAATGCACATTCGCCAGTAGAGAGGTGAGTGGTTTGTTTGTAGGAAAGAGTTAGGAATTACACATAAAAGTACCTCTATCGTAGATACATATATTTTTGAACTTAGGTTCATTCTGAATTTGTGAAAATGCCAATTCACCAAACATGCACATGCTATTATTCTATGAAATGTTTGAAGAAAGACAAAGAAAAATACTCGAAGTAGAGATTTCTGAGTTTTGGAGAGGCAATGTAATGTCAAACTTCACTCATCATGCCCTTAACACACGCTACAGATGTGAGACTCAGGGACAAATCATTGAACCTTTCCACACCTCAGTATTCTTACCTGTAAATCCTGCGGAGTCTCATCGGGTGTCTTGTGAGGATTAAATGACATTAACTGAGACAATGTATGTATAGTGTTTTGGGTAATGCCTGCAATTTATTAAGAACAAATTGCAAATGGTAGCTGTTTATACTCTTGGGGGAAAGCATCATTTGAAGTTCCCATGAGACCAAGGGTCCTTTCATTGCTGTATTTCCAGGCCTTCACGTGGCTCCTTGTGTGGTATTTGTGTTCACTAAATATTTGTTGACTCACTGATTTTTTGAGAGAGGTCTACGAATTTTTCTCTAGCAGAAAAATCTCCTTGTTGAACCTGGAGGATTACACATGTTCAGTTTTCTCAGGCAGTAGGACAATGGTGGTAAATGAAACAGAGTTTGTTCAATGTGATCTTCAGATCTAATAACATGAGCTTTGGTGGGATGAACTATCTTAGCATAGTAGTTACAGCTTAGGCTCTGAAGGCAAACAGCCTGGAACTGAAACTTATTGTGACAATTTCTTAGGTGATTTGGAGCTAAATATTAAAACTGCTTAAGCATTACTTTTATTTATTGGTAAAATATCTGTGAAAAGATAATCTGTCTTGGAAGGCCGCAGAAAGATGAAATCACATCAGGTTTTTAAGGCCTTTAGCAAAGTGCCTTGCTTGTAGAAAGTTCTTGATAAGTGTGGTGTCCCACTAAGGGATTGGACTAACAGCCAGTACTATAACCGTTATATTCTTGTCCCTCGAATGACTGAGGCAGAATCATATCACAATTATTATATTAAAAAAGAAGATAGAGGTAATGTTTCTGAGATATTTGTAAATTTACAACAGAAGTTTTAAAAGCTATCTCTTGTGTAGGCACATGTATTTCTCAACTTAATTAAAATAATTAGCAAACTTTCAGTAGATTTTATGTAAACATTTACAAGTCTGCAAATATTGCCTGCTTTGGACTTCAAATGAGATGGATAATCGTGACATACTACTACATCTAAGAGTCTGGATGACTCTTTTTCTTATCCCAATGCTATTAAACTTTTTGAAGGGAAAATTTGTATTTTGTATGAGAAAATGGAAACTGTTCAAACCAAAATTTTAACACAATTGTAGGCCAATTGTGGTTTACCAAACTCCTGTGGTAGAGATTGATGATAGAAGAGTTCACAAAGCCTGAGTAAATCTTGGGTGAACCTAGACGTTTTCTTCATTTTTGCCATTAGTTATAACATTAGCTTACAAATTTTGATGTTCCGTTTGCAAGCTTGAGATTCTGAGGAAATGAATTCCTATAATCAGAAGCACTGAAAGAGGAAACAAGGTATTGTTATGACTCAGTGGTAGGTCATGCAAATCAGTGGCCTAACTGGGAAAGTGAGACTCTTCTTTGAGAAGAATTTAGCTTTAATGCAGCAACAGGGTGGACATGGAGATGCAGAAGGAGAAATTTGGCTAGGGACAAATCTCTCCTATTCTGCATTGTTGAAAATGAGTATCCATGATTTTCTGCCTGTGAAGGGTGGAAGTTTAGTGAGATGTGGAAAACAGAATTTAATTTCATGAATTGCTTCCCTGTATTCCTTGGGGGAAGGAAACAGTTTGTGATACTTTGAAATCTCTAGCTCAAGTGTAGAAGAAGCGCAAACGTGAAGGATCTTGTTAGAATCAAGTCACAGAAAAAAAGGAATTTCAAGTTTTGTGAAATGTCAACCAACCATTTGAGAAATGATAGTGGGGTGGGAGTGGGGAGTCACTAAATGCTATTTTTATCTGCCCTTTGTTGAAAGTACTCGATTTCATTTCTGTCAATTTGATAAAGATGAAAAGTTTTTGCTTATCCAAACTCCTGTCCATTTGGGTAAACATGTCAGGCACAGGGAAGTCCAGCTGGGAAATCTTACACATCCACACGAGGTGCTCTCCTCTAGCCCAGTCTCAACATCACACCCATGCAACGCCAGCAAGTTTCCCTGTCCATGGAGTTTTGGCAAGGATTGAAGGTTGTTCGATCCGTAAAATGATATCCAGTCTTTTGTTCTGGTCTTCTGAAACTCTTCCCTATATAGTATATACTTGAATGGCAGAATATTATAATAAAAATACTTTCTTCAAAATATGAAATCTCATCCCAGATCCATTCCTAACAATCTCCGAGTCTCATTTCCTTCTCTCTTAGTGTGTGTATAGGTGAGTAAAGGACCCCACCCTGCTTCTCCTACCTGGTGGGAATAATTAGAAGAAGCAAAGAAAATAACACTTGTGACTGCATTATAAGGAAAAATTAGCCAGGTCCATTCCATATCACTGTACTTTCTTTTCCCAAACTATTTTCCTGGCATCACTGAATTACATGAAAGAAAATCAAGGATCAGTTCTGGGCTAGCATTTCAAATACAGCATGTGGAGTGGTTTTGCATAAATATTCTGAAGTCTGGCTCTACCATACCTAAATTACCAAGACAATGTATTCTTAGGTAGATATACATGGTATTGAAATATATAAGCACTGAAAATCACTAACCATATCCTTCAGGAGGATGACAAATAAAATGTAGGATCAAAGTATCCGGAAATCCTAGCCAAGATAAACATGAACCTTAGCAGAGAAGCAGAGCCACTAGGAGTTTGAAAGACCTAGGTATACTAGTGAGATCACGTGTGTCTTTTGAGCTACTTCCTCATTGTTACTTGCGAGCTAGGCGTAAAAGTGTGGACCCTGAAGTCAGTTTACCTAGGCTCCAGTTTATCTTTACGCTTACCTGTGTGAACATAAGCCTGCTAAATAGTACCCCAACTTTTAGCTGCCCATCTGGAAAATAAAGCCAATGATGGTGACCCCATCATAGAGAGATGAGGATTAGATAACATTAACCATGTAAAGTCTTTGTACAATGCCTGCCATATGATATTAGTTTACAATTATTTAATGTTTACCAATTTCTCAATATCGAGATCCTAGATATAGACTGTCTCTCCTTTTTAAAGATGTTTATGGCTAGACGCGTTTATCTTCTCTGAAATCAATGCATCCAGGAAATGAATGCTAACAAAGAGAAAGTTAACCCAGGCAGCTGTTATAAAAAACCGTGGAATGATCGACTTTAACTCATCACATGGCATACATACAGCATCCGTATATTTTATCAATTTAGCATGAAGAAGTCAGAAGTAAGAAACCAGAGAGAACCTGAACCTGGGAGAAAAACCAATATATCCAGGCTCAGTAATCTTACTCAGCAAATCTGAAGATGGACTTGAATTATAGAAGTGCAGAAAGAAACACATGCCAGTCCTTCACATGTCCCTAAACAACCTCTTCAGAAACAGCTCCCTTCAAATATGTATTTCTTATCTCCAGGATTTATACATATAGCTTTCATGGCTGTGTTTCAGTTCTTAGAGAACTGCTCTATAAATAAGAAAATAAAAATTATATGTCCCTGTTTTTTCATTTTGGTAAGGAAAAAAAGCCAAAATTGATATAAATAGTTTCTAATGTGTGACATTTGCAATTATTATTCAGAGGGAGTAAAGCTAGGTGGGACCACAGAACTTACTCAGATTTCTTTTATTACAATGTGGGTAGACCATCTATAAAAATCAAAGTAGATATTATTTGTTGCAGAAACTCAGAAAGCTCTTGCATTTAGTGAACCCCAAAGCCCCTTTTCAATATTGTTGGATAAGCAACATATGTAGACTGAAATTTCTGTGTAAAGACACACGATGAAACAGCACTTCTAGTCACTTGAGGACCTTCACGGTGCCTCCGTCCTGGCTGCCTGTTAAGCTGTATCCTTCAGGGTAATAGAGGTACATCTCAGCTGGAATCTGGTGTACCAAATAATGAGTGCAATGTGTGGATGTTCAGATAAAGTGGGATTTTGAGAAACCTTTGAGAAGAATCAGTTTTAACCAGAATTTTTACTACAGCTGCCTGAGGGGAGTGCAAGATGAGATAGATTATCGATTCATAGTATTTGCTTGATTTTGTCTTCCATTTTTAAGAAAACTTTACAAAATAGAAAATAAAACCCCAAATGCTCACTTTTTTTTTATTTCAATAGGCATTAAGTCTTATATTCTTTATGAAAGTAACAAATCCTCTTTCCTCTCCTCAAATATATAGATAAGAGATTCCAAAAATAAGAATGCCTCTTTCTTTGTCTCTCCCCCTCCCTCTCTCTTCCTTCCTTCCCTCCTGTCCACCTTTCTTTTCTTCCTCCCCCACTTCCTCCTTCCCTTTCCTTTCCTCTTTTTCTTTTTCTATTTCTCTTTCCTTCGTTCTTTTTTTCTCTATATACAACAGCTCTTTTCTATTGTGGAGTACTTTCAGAAATAGTGTTTTAGGTTTTAGGAGCTCTATTTAAAAGAAAACAGTGCTTTTTTGTTAGTGGTGGGAACATGAGTCCAATTTTTTTCAGGCCAATTCTGAATCTCCTTAACTAAAAAAATAATGCTTTTCACATGATGACTCATTTATCACAGAGTCATTTGCATAGAAAAAAAGAAAAGAATAACTGGATGATGAAGTGGGGAAGAGGGTTGCATTAAATTATTTTCAGCACAGAAGTGCTTTATGTTGAAGAAAGAAAAGTAATTTTACTGTTTTATCCTTCCTCTGATAAAGTAATGCACTCTGCCATTAACAATGGGCCTGTCTTTCTTCATGTGTTTAGCTTCAAACATAGGTAAAATATTTCCCTTAGCCTCCCATGGAGATTATCTGGGGTTCTAGCCTTTCTGATCATTCTCATCATTACTCCTTTGAAACATTTCATCATTAGTAGACCCCAATTTAACTTTGTATGGGATCTTCTGATCCCTTGTTTTCCCATCTTTGAATTTTTCAAAAATGAAAATTGTTTTATTGATTTTCACTTAAAATGCTGCATGTCCATTATAAAAAATATTGAATGTAGAAAAAGAAATAAAAAATTATTCAGTATTCTGTCATCTATAGAAACCTTCTGTTAGTGTTTTGGTGAACACTCTTTCAGATATTTTCCCTTCATTTCTCTCTGTCTTTGTCTCTCTCTGTCCATCCATCCATCCTTCTCTCTGTAACTTGCTATACTGGTCAGTAATATATCATGAACACCCTTTCATGAAATACATATTTAACTGCATCATGATTTTAAATGGTGCATAGTAAATCATTAAAAAGGTGTACCTTAATTAGCCTTCCTTTAGGGGTCTAGGTTATTTTAAAATTTTTGCCATTACTGTATATGTTATGTGTTGGTAACATTTGTACTGATTCTAAAGTTCTGAAATGAGCTAGTGATTATACAAGGCAATGGAAACTATGAAGATAACTGATGACTGTGTAATAGGAATACTTCCTATTGCAACTCGAATTATCAAAATCCTGTGTGTTGTTTTGTCCCCTGAGAAGTATGTTCATACATTTGTGTTATTTGTTTAGGAGGGATACACCTTTTAAAAAATAAAGCTTATAGATAATAACTGCAAATGTCAGGTATGAAGTAGCTTTGGCGGGGGTGGGGGCTTAACACTGAATATAAACTTCTGGAAAGAGCATGAAGTTGAAATCCGTGGTCTAGAAGAACCTCTAGAAGTCATTCCAGCTGAGTATAGAAGTCAGGGTCTTAGAGTATCACCATTAGTTTCATGCCTTCTTGGCTGAAGGGTAGTTTTTTTTAAACTGAGGATCCAACTCATTCATTTATTCAACAAAATTGTGTTGATTATCTTCTTGGGTTAAGCATGGAGCTGGACACTAGCAATACGGAGATAGAAAATGCTTGTTCTGGGGTGCCTGGGTGGCTCAGTCGTTAAGCATCTGCCTTCGGGTCAGGTCATGATCCCAGGGTCCTGGGATCGAGCCCCGCATTGGGCTCCCTGCTCAGCAGGAGGCCTGCTTCTCCCTCTCCCACTGCCCCTGCTTGTGCTCCCTCTCTCGCTGTCTCTCTCTGTCAAATAAATAAATAAATAAATAAACAAATAAATAAATAAATAAAAACAAATAAATCTTAAAAAAAAAGAAAATGCTTGTTCTATCCTCAGTGTTCTCATGCGCTACCATGTGGGGAGAGTGGATAGTTGAGTGCTACTCAGGAAACTGTAGATGGCATCATTAAGAAAGGGAAATTCTGCTGGCTTCACACCCAGGGTGTGTCCTAGTCCTGGAACTCTTTTGGACTCATTACTTAGAACTCTTTTTGTCCAAGTCCCCAAACACATCTTGGAAGCCTGTATTTTTAGGGTAGATTGAAAGTCACTCCTTCATGTGCTAATTGGAAGGTGGAGAGGAAAAGCACAGTGCCCACTAGGGCTAGCTCTGAGAGTGAAGAATAAAATACTAGCCAACTTCTTGACATCTTTCTTGAGTGATTCCATCCTGGCAAGTGCATATTCGTAACATCATGACAGTAGGAAATAGTTGCCTGACTTACCAAGCTGGAGAGTCATATTCAGCAATTTGATTGCAAATTTGATGACTTTAGGATTTGGTTAGAAGATATCCATATTTTTTTTAAAGATTTTACTTATTCATTTGAGAGTGAGAGAATGAGAGAGAGCACATGAGAGGGGTTAGGGTCAGAGGGAGAGGCAGACCCCCCATCGAGCAGGGAGCCTGATGTGGGACTCCATCCAGGGACTCCAAGATCATGACCTGAGTGGAAGGCAGTCGCTCAACCAACTGAACCACCCAGGCGCCCAGTTAGAAGATATTTTTATATGATTTTTAAGAAACTCCAGTATATGCCCACTCTTATTGACATATACAAAGACCAAGAAATGAATTTTTACTGTCCTGTGATTTTATCCAAGCTTCTCAAACTTCAAGGTATGCATAAAAATCACTGAGACATCTTGTTGAAATGTATCTATTAGGTCTAGGGCGAGTTCCTGAAATTCTGCATTTCCAAAATGCCTCCAGGTAATGCCAGCTTTGCTGGTTAATGGGTGGCACTTTGAATAGCAAGGACCTAAGATGTCTTCATGCCAATGAGAATTCACCTTCTGTAACTTCATCTATTTGTTTGCAGCTGTAGTGATGGTCCTAAACAGCATGAGTGTCAGCTGGAGCACCCGGATCCAGATTTTCCTAACCTTTTGCAAGCTCACAGCAATTCTGATAATTATAGTCCCTGGAGTTATGCAGCTAATTAAAGGTATGGACTGGAAAGTAAATGCTTTTAAAAAACGTATCTGCTTTTGATCTTTCCTAGCACTAACTTCCGCTTCTATTAGCAGAATCCCTTAATTAGTCTCTGTTTGTGGAACTTAGACTCTATACTGTCATCGAATTGATTTGAAAGACTGCTGCACGGGGCGGCGGGGGGGGGGGTGCATTGGTATTTACAGCTGAATGGCAACAAGAGAATTAAGACTGGGCCAAGCAACAAAATAAGGCATCAGTGAATTCACTCCATATAAACTCTTTGGAGTGAAAACTCAAAGTGGAAAAACAAATCTGCCATTAGTTTCAACTACAGATAACTGTATCCTCTTATATTTACTTGAAAATAGTTCACTAATAGTAATAAAGACTAAAGAAAAAAGGATATCTGGAAAAAAATGAAAGATGACCAGTAATTCTTTTACTCTATGGCTATTATTACTTTTTACCTTGAGAATAGTCTTGATGGAAGGGGAGTCAGATATGGGAATAGCATTCCTAAAAACCAAATATTATCTGACAAAAAAAGTTGTAAAAACTTAATTTTTATTGTTACTTTATTTTTAAAGTAAAATTTGCTTCTCTATGGGAATGTAATATCATTCTGGGGGAGTATATGTAGAGTTGACTGTTTAATAAGAAAAGATGAGATGGTTGAGCAGGTGATGTTATTTAGAGTTTCAGCTGTTTTAGGGAAGAAGGTACATGCAATTGCTTGGATTCAGTGGAAGTTGTTGGAAGCATAGGAGGTCCAGGTGAATTCATTGGCAATGGGCTTGATAATAGGGAATAGGAACGTAAGATGAAATTGTGAAAGAGTGACATATAATTTGGGCATCTTAAATATTTAATGTTTACATTGATATTGTCTGTTCCAGGAAAGGGAATTTAGAGAGAAATTTTATGAAGTTGCAGGAGAAGAATTACACAAAGCAAAAGGAAATGCCAAAATTCAGCAAAATAATTGCTGATGGTAGAGGCATCAAACAATAACAAACACTGAAAGATCTGTCACTCTGTAGCTAGGGCAAGGGAGCTGCTCTTGTCCATTTACTAATGGAAGATCTTAGAACTCTCCTGGCTAAATGATTGCATCAAATGCAGCAACTTTGGCCAACTCAGAGTAAACACAATAAAGATTTTAATGCTATGGCTTACACTAAAGAGAAGACGTGAGCTCGCTCTTCTAGTTCACATTGGCCGCCACAGAGCTGGCCTGCTCATTTTATCTGATCCATTAGAAATGTAGAGAACATAATCTGTTTTGTTAGTGCTTTCTTTTTATGGGCTAACTCTTTAGTCTTCTGTAAGGAGTTTCTTCCATTTTTGGAGAGTGCAGAGACCCTGAGTCATTGACCCTACTTCAGTTCTAGTTTAGGTTCCAAAAGATGATATACTATCCTTTAAAACTCTAATATAAGACTCTAGTCATTTTTTTTTAACCACCTATTTATATATGTATGTGAGATGAGGTGAAGTTTTCCAAATGCTATTTTATTGTAAATTCCTTAAGAACAGAGATCATAATATATCTTTTGCATCTTTATCAACACTTAAAATAGAATGATCCTTTAATTAATACTTATGCTGTCTATCAGTGCTTAATGTGAACAGGCTTCCTTTTATAGCTCACCTAATAGAGAAATGCTGTAAGAATATTACTACATTTAAAGTAAATTTTATTACTTTGGAGAGCATTCTTAGCAAGCATATTTACTCTATTAATACAAAATGTTGATTTTTTTTTCTAACTTAATCACAAATTTTTCACATTAATTTGAAACTCCAGGAGGATAAAAGCTTTACTAATACAGAGCGTGCATTTATTTCCACTCTAATCAGATCCTGAAAATAGTTGTATGTTCTGTACTTATGACGATTTGTTAAACTTTCTTTTGAATATTATGACTTTCATATTCCTGAGACCTCTGTTATTCATCCAAAATATTCCTGAAGTCTAAAAAAGCCTCTCTTTTGTAATACTCTCAAAATAACACTTTTTAGGATTTATGCTTTAGGACCTGATCTTCAATAAAGTTTGGTTTTTCTTATTGCTTATTCAGTACTCTACCCTTAGAATATTATCTCTTTAGGCCAAGGAGACCATATGTCATGATAAAAGAATATTCAACAGATGTTTTTATCTGAGCTCCAGTGTTTATATTTCCCTTCTATGAGGACACAGAGATGTTTTAGTAAAACAGGCATTTCTGAATTCACTGTGTCATTTTTTTTAAATGAACTATATTTTGGCACTGGATACTTTGAGGGAAAAATTATTTACTGTACAACTCAAACTTCTCCATTTTTGGTCTCAAAGCTCATACATATTATATTAATATATATTGTTGTCTGGGCAACCCAGGCAACAACCGAGGTTTCAGTGAAGAGAGAGGGTCATAATCACATATATCATCTACCTCCCATCCCTCTTTTTTTTTCAGATAAACAATGGATTATATTTTATATAAGTATATCTCAAATATTGCATGACACATAGTTAAACTAAAAAATTACTATTTCTACAGAAAAATAACACAGTGATAAATATTCTGAATCTTTTATATGCCCATCCCTCTTTTATTTACTTGAATGAAGACCAATTTTGAAACAAAATCACATTTCCCATTTTGGTGATCTCATTTGCTATTTTCCTTAAGAAAGAGACTTTTTATGTTTAACTTTGAATATTGGCTAAATCTGAATTATTTTTTTTTTGTAATTATCCAAAGGATAAACAAGAAAAAGGCCCAGTATGATTCACAAAGTAGGGAAAAATGTTATGAATTAAAGCATTCAATCCACACGTTGATGCAAAATTTGTTAAGAACTATCTATTTTATAATTCAGTATAATCTCTTTTCAGTGTTTCTAGAAGGAAACCATGCCATTCTCTAAGACAGGGTCAGTGGACTTTCTCTGTAAAGGGCCAGATAGTAAATATTTTCAACTTTGCTTGCCATACAGTCTCCTTCACAACTACCCAACTCTGCCATTGCAGAGTGAAATCAGCCATAGACTGATAATATCAATCCTAATACACAAATAAGTGGGCCTGGCTGTGCTCCAATGAAACTTTATTTACACAAGAAGCTTTGGAAAGCAGATTTGGTCCACAGGATTTTCTACCACTGTGGGTACTTAATAGACTACAGGGGAAAATAGAAAGCAGAATGAAAATTAAATGATATGAGAAGGTGGTTCTTGGGTTTTTTGCTACCTCCTCATTGAGAGTAGAACTGTGGATATTTCTTTCCAAGTGTAGATGCCAAGGGCAGTCTGCCCCGAGATGGGCTGCTTTGACATGAACATTATTTTGAGTTAAAAGCAATCAAAACCCAGCAGATTCAGGAAAAGCTCTTTACCTCCCCTTGAGCTATTAACAAGATAGTTTCCTCTTTACCTAAGAGACTCATCTTACATAGTAGGGCAACTTTTGTTTTCCACACATCTCCTTTTACCTTCCTGCTAATGTTCTTTCTCCCCTTTATATCCTCAGAACCCTACTCCTCTTCTTAGCTCATGTAACTATCATATTGCCTCACTGTCTTTGGAATTTCCATGTCTGTGGAGGTTCCCTATATGTATGCTATTAAATTTGATTTTCTCCTGTTAATCTGTCTCATGTTAGTTTGATTCTTAGTCCAGCCAGAAGGATTTTAAAGGGCAGAGGAAATTCTTTCTCCCCAACACAAGCATTATATTATCTTTATTTAAAAGAATTCTATCATACTCCTGTTAACTGTAATCTGTATGGTTTACAGATTATTCCTTAGTCTTCTTTTATGCTCAAACTCTGTAAGAGTAGAGGCACACTCAAACAAGGAACTGCTTTGCTCTTTGCTATAATTTTATTAAAAGAGAAATGTGAAATAGTGTCAGTGGTGATCAATATACCTTTGGGACTCCTCCTCTAGAATGGATACAGTATTAATAGATGAATCTGGCAATGAACAGGAAGTGAGAAATCTGGACCTGAAACAGTATAGTTCATCCCCAACCCTCCCATTTCTTTCTCCATGTTTGGTTAAAGAATGAATAATAACCAATTCTTTGAAAAGTCCTAAAATCTTTCTGTTCTCATTACAGGGCAAACACAACACTTTAAAGACGCCTTCTCAGGAAGAGATGCGAGTATTATGGGGTTGCCACTGGCTTTTTATTATGGAATGTATGCATATGCTGGCTGGTAAGTTGATATCTCTAGATCTGGTGGTTTGTATGGGTCATTAATTCCTTCATGTATTTTGGTTAAGTGCCAAGCAAGCTGCTAGACGAGTGTGAATAGCCACAATCCAGCACAATCTGCCTTTTTTGAAGTGAGGAAGATGGTGTGGCTCCCTCCACCAGGCCACTTACTGTGCATATGACTTAATGTAAGCATAACTGAGTTTTTCAGTCAAGTTAACTATTAGATTTAGCCTGATGTTACAAAAAACAAACAAATGTGGGTCTTAATATTGCCAAAAGATCTGTTACAGCCACTAAGTCAGGAAACAAATGGGGAGGCCTGGTGCACTTTGTCAGGGCCAACTGCTCCATCCTGGGGAATCCTGAGGGGGTTGAACAAATTGAAAGTACAGCTCCTGACTGGGCTTGCCAATACTGTTGCTGAACAAACTCAGATGAACTTGTTGCTAGAGAAGCCAATAACTCAAGCAACGAGGGTTTAGAAAAGGGAAAGAGAAATTTATTTCAGATGCTGGCACCTGGGGGAGGTGGCAGGCTCAAGCCTTAACAATCGACCTCTCTGCCTATAAGATGAACACCTATGGGAGAGGTTTGGGGGTTAAGTGCAAGAGAGCAGACAGGGTGCACGTAATCATGGGGTGAGTATGTGTTCAGCCCTTGATCATGGGTAGGGAAGGGGACATGTGGGGTGTGGTCTTCTAGGCATTCCATTGTTAACAGGGCTTTTCTGGTCCAGTGGTTAGAATGTTCTGGTCATTGCAAAATGTCTTTGTGCCTCAAGAAAGTATAATAAGAAACAAGCACAATGGGTTTAGTTAGAGCATGAGTTAAGTGGTTTTGTCTATTTCTGGTTCTAACTGTTGGGGTCTACAATTGAGCAAGAGAACTCGCTGACATTAACCAATGCAAATCACTTATAAGTCTGTATCAGTGAGGACATAATAGTGCCATGAGAAATTAAAGATTAATTCTTTGCTTGTCAAAAGGCCTTTCAGTTGAAGCTCCAAGGTTGTTTGCGAATAGTGGTTAATTGATTTTTCTCTACTCTCCCATGAGAATGAAATCATTCAGATATAGAAATAAGTAAGGTGTTCCCAGAAGGTTAAATGATACTCAAAAAGCAGGGTAGGAAAAACTAAGGTGGTGAAAACAGGTATACTAGATAATCTGTTACATTTAAAGGCTCTTACAAATTCCTTAAAATTTCCTCAACATTTGAAAAACAAAATATTCAGCAAAGATGATTAAAATCACTATGCCATGGGTATGTTTCCTTTGTGCTTGTTAAGCTGTGATAACCATTCTGGTTGAAGCATTAGAACTTCATATTTATGCCTTATTTTATTCAGGAACTTGAATAACAATAATCATGGATAAGGGTGTGCGATTTTTTACTAATTAAATTTTATTGATCTAAGACTCAGTGGAAATGACTGTTACAAGAAAGCCCACTAGGTAGAAAAGTATTGCTTAACCATCAAAATCATTGTAGTAAAATTAAATTTCACTGTTTTGGAGTTATTAATAGCAAAATCTCTTTTTAAAAATTATTTATAGAGCTAATAGTTGTACAACTTTAGCTGTGAGAATGTTCTATGAACATAAAAATAGTATCAGGAAACCACACTAACAGAAATTATGTAAATGCATTTAATATAAATTTTATTTTCTTCCATTTCTTTAGTTATTAGATTCTTACCTTCCAGTTAGTGCTGGAATATAAAGATATGTTTCAAAATAAATGGAGTATTTACCCTATTAATCTCATTGAATTATGAAAATACAGCATTAGAGGAAAATTAGGAGGGTATAGGAATTTAAAATCTTAACCTAGCTTTTGAAGAAAAGTACGTTTGAAAGGCATTACAAGGTTGTAGCTCTACGTGGTATAGGATAAAATATTTGTATATTCAAGAAATATTCTTACAGCTATTGTGTATAAGTATCAATCTTGAATCACACAGTATATTTGAAGTCTTTTTATTTTTGTCCAAAGCACAATGTGGTGCTGGGCAGAGAGAAGAACAGAGTTGTGATCACAGGGTTAGTAGCAGAATCCACCATTCTATGGCTATTCAGCCTGCATCAAAGCTCTGGTGCCCTGGGGCAGCAGCCAAGCTACTGGGAGGGTAACCCAGAGACCAGAGTGAAGTGGGGAGGTGGTAAAAGCTTTCAGCTAGAGCCAAGTGTTGGGAGCCCAGCAATATTCAATCAGGAATGTGGAATGTGGAGATAGTCACAAAGGAGATTTGATTAATTCTATTGAATGAAGTTTCTTTTGCCTTTGAGTGCCATGCATCTGTTACCACCGAATCTTAAAATATTCTTCTATCCAACTCACTCTCCCACTACCAGTACCAGATATTCAGGTCAGCAGCTTTGTATTGAGCAAAGCTTCTCTACTTCTGTAGGCTTTGGAGGGCTGAGGGATTTTTCCATTTCTCTCACTCTTTTCATTTTAAATTATCTTATTATCATAATATTTTGTTTTATTGATGCTGAACCTAAAATGCTGCTCATGCTAAAATGATTTAAAAAATAATTTGGGTGATATAGACAGACTTTAACAATTCATGAAGTGGGCAGTGTCTACTTTCAAGAGTCTAGAGAACCACAAAGTGGGGTGGAAGACAGGAAGCTTTTATAGGATATGCTTTTATAGAAATCTTTCAAAGCATAAGGGACAAGGAAATGAAAAATAGAAAATGAGTAAGGAACAAAGAAGTAAGTATAGATCCCAGAGTTGGCATTTGGGGACTCAGTGGCCCCATTTTGGGCCTAGAAATGTATTTCAGCGCTCTCTTTACAGGGAACGTGGGGTTTATGTGAACTTTTGTTTACACTTTTACCCATATGATCCTTCTCTCCACTCCCTATTTTAAAGAAGAGGAAACTGTTGATTTTTTCCTATTCTTAAGAGGGGTTCGAGTATAGTACTGGAAATGAAGACCGGGATTTTAAATGCAATGTTACCTGATACAAGTGGCTTGTGCAGAGACAGAGGACTAACTGCATTTCTCTAACGTGGTTGTTATGCTACCTGAATGCTGCATTGTGGATAGGTAGAAATAATCTGGTTGTTAATCTATGGCCGTCAGTCTTAGAAAAAGGAAACCGTGTCTAGAAGAAATAGTCTGTTGGTTCAGAGTTCCAGAGAAAAAGTTAATATCTGTTTGTAGGTGGAACAAGATGGAGACGAAAAGAGTTCACAGAGAGGGGTATTTATTCCCTTCCCAAATGTAATCCTGCCTCTCTGACCTCTCTCTGTCTTTCACAGTATAATGACAAGACTAGGTGATGGAATTATAAATGGGACACTGTAAATGAGTCTCCACTCCCCATGCAGCTGCCGTGACAACGTTTGATGCAAACAAAAAGTGTGGGGGGCATTGCAAATAAGTCAGACGGAAGCAGCTACTGTCATCAGAACTTAACCACCTAGGGTGTAAGTAAAAGCAGCGAGACCTTTGTCGATGGGGAGGCCTTGCTCTGTTAGCAATTCAACTTCGACATGGTGAATAGGAAAAAGACCCTGCCAAACCTTGGGTCTGAATAGAGTAGGCTTTTGGCTATGAGCAGTGCAGAACCTTTTTAGAATGATGAAAACTCCTTCACAGAAACATGATTAGGGGGAAAGAAATCATTAACCCAGCCAGGGCACAGAGTTGGGTCAGAGCAACTTTAATATTATTACCAGTGTCTGCATTCAGAGAGATATGTCTGCCAGTCTTCCTCGTGGCCCAAGGGAACTCAACCAATTTCAGTCCCATATCCTGATCCAAAGCTAAATATTGCTTTGTGGGGTTTTTTAAAACTGTGTAATAGAAAGTTTTTCTGTGTCTTTTTTCTCCCTTTTAAATCCGATCCTCGGTGGATTTAGTCTTTCTAAAGTACCTGCTGGGATTATTTTGTACCATTGTGTCAAATCTAATCTAAAGAATAAGCTTCTTTTTAAAATAATTCACATAGTTGGGTACTGGAATGCACTGCCAGCTTTGTGGTACTTTTTATACACAATTATGGAAAAGCTGAAACAATAGATCTTGTGAATATTCTCGAGAGGCCTTGAGGAGATGTAAAGCAAGGAGAATGCTATGGACTCATTGCTGGAGACCAGGAAAGCATAAAGGTGTATTTCCCACAGGATGTGAATGTTTGGACCAAAATAAGAAGCTTTCTCCTTCACACCCCCACCCTGCCCCAAGCCCTTTCCTTTTCTCTATTCTCTGGAGCTATGGCAAATATTTGAAATTGTGTTCCTTTTTTCACAAATATTTCCTTTCTTGCTGTAAACATTGTTGGAAAATACCAGTTTTTAAAACAACTATTAAGAAGGAGCTGGATATTTTTGACATGAGAAGCCTGGAAACGTGTGTGTGTGTGTGTGTGTGTGTGTGTGTGTTATTTTATATTTGGGTTTCTTTCTTTCTTTCGTTCTTTCTTTCTTTCTTTCTTTCTTTCTTTCTTTCTTTCTTTCTTTTTTTCTGCAGGTTCTTCCTGTACTTCCCATTGCTTTGGCCTTGTAACAAACACATGAAATCCCTCAGAGTGCATATCCCAGATATAAGTATTGATTGTTGCTTGCCTTCGTGGTATAACTACAGCCTCTATTTTTAGAAGCTTACTTTCTAGTCATTAAAAAATAAACTTGACTGCTAACTTTTTAGATCACCTTTACTGCTACTGTTCTGTCAGCTATTCAAATGCTTCTACTTAAGACATAGTCCTTAAAATATTGGATGCCTTAACCTTGTTAAAAGATAAACTGAAGCATATTAAAATTTTTAAGAGTTTATTTGAGCAAAAGTTGATTTGAATCAGGCAGCATTTAATCTAGCAGATAGAAAGGAGCTCTGAGGAACTGCATAAAATGAGACTTTTATAGGCAGAAGGGAGCAGGAACAAAGAACTTAGTGTAGGCAAAAAAGCAGGTTGGTTTTTGCAAGGTTACTTTCATGTAAGCAATGGCAGGGATCTGTCAGGAAGATTACCTAACTAGTACCAATCAAGTGATTCCTGATTGGTTTAAAATTCCTTTACTGGGAGAGCAGAAACTATAATTATCTTGGTTTGGTGTTGTGGGGCTTAGCATAAGCAACTCCATTTTGGACTTGTTGTCTAGTTTTTGACAACCATGAACATCAACTTCGTAGTTGTGAATTTAGATGGGTTTTTATAAAGATGAGATAAGACAGGTTTCTCTTTCTTATATTAAATTATGAGATACTTTAAGTATATTAAAGCTGTTGGGCTAATATTTTAGCCATTTGGTTTTAAGTAATAGAAAAATTCGTACTTACAGACCCAAGCTTCTGTGTACCTATATAATGGCTGTTTTGCTTTCTGCAGAAAAATAAGAGAGCAGAAGAGTGTTTTGAAAATATGACTTTTTATTTTGTGGAAATGACCTAAGCCCATCAAATGAAGAGATAGACATGTCTTTGTCTTTATATGTTTAGCTCTCCCATTATGATCCCTTGGTTTTCCCATCTTCACAATTCGGTTATCTATGTATGCTTATTTGAGGATGGAGTTTACCTCAGTTGTACATCTTGGAACCTGGACAAAGAACTATATGTTGCCTAACTGAACATAATAAAAAAAATTATAAGGCTTTAAAGAGTCTCGAGCCGTCCCTTTCGATTGGAAAAATAAGGGTACAAGGTAGTAGACATTTTCTGGGTGGGATAAGTAGAGTCACAGAATAAAAGAAAGGAATCTGAATTTCTCTAGGGCTATAACTTTAGGGTAATATTTGTAATCCTATGAAACTTGAAAGTGAAATATTGTATGCCTAGAATGCTTTTTGTCATGTGAGGGACCCAGAAAAGTGTTCAGAACTTGGGAAAACTTCATAGTCTTGTGACTTGAGGTTATTTGGATGGGCATATACCAGAAAACGGTGAATGGAAAGGAAGAAGTGCAAATTGAGAATCTATTATCTTTGATATCATTGTCAGTTCCCACTTGCCCTTTTGTGTTTATATATGGCCAACTCCCTAAAACTGTGAAATGCTATTGTCATACATCTCTTGCCCTATAAGCTTTGATTGACTTGCCAACACCACTAAAATCTGGATTCCTGGAAGCCAAAGCCATCTGGTGCTTAAATTCTGTTCTTGGGGTGCCTGGGTGGCTCAGTCGTTAAGCGTCTGCTTTCGGCTCAGGTCATGATCCCGGGGTCGTGGGATCGAGCCCCGCATCGGGCTCCCTGCTCAGCAGGAAGCCTGCTTCTCCCCCTCTCCCACTCCCCCTGCTTATGTTCCCTCTCTCGCTGTGTCTCTCTCGATCCCAGGACTCTGGGATCATGACCTGAGCCCAAGGGAGACACTTAACCAAACGAGCCACCCAGGCACCCCAGTGTTAGTGTATTGTGATCAAACAAGTAAAACTAATCAGAGCTGATAATAGAATAACAGTTGCCTTTACAAGATAATGGTATTGACTGGAAAGGGCCATAAGGGAAACTTCTAGGGTTCTAGGACTGTTTTATCTCTTGATCTTTTTGTTGGTTCCATGGGTGTATAAATACGTAAAAATTCATCAAGTTGTTGATTAAGATTTGTGCACTTTACTGTTCATATGGTATACCTCTATAAAAATGTTAATAAAAAAATAACTCTGTACATATGGTTTAATAGAAAAATGATCTGTGGGAACTTGGATTGTTGGAGATTTTTATCTTACAATAAGTATTTGTTTTTAAATTTTTTTAAAAGATTTTATTTATTTAATTGACAGAGAGAGAGAGAGAGAGAGAGACAGCGTGACAGGGAACACAAGCAGGGGGAGTAGGAGAGGCAGAAGCAGTCTTCCCGCCGAGCAGGGAGCCCGATGCGGGGCTCAATCCCAGGACCCCGGGATCATGACCTGAGCCGAAGGCAGTCGCTTAACCAACTGAGCCACCCAGGCGCCCCTGTTTTTAAATTTTTTATAATTCTGAGTTTGATTATAAATGTTTAAGAATTGACATTTTGGGTTATAATCGTAAAATATATTGATAATGTATAACTCATTTATATCTTTTTAGGTTCTATCTCAACTTTGTTACTGAAGAAGTGGAAAATCCTGAAAAGTAAGTGGCCATAATTGCTCTGAAATATTTATGAGGAATAAAATGTAACGTTATACAATTGAAAAAGCAGACCTAAAGAAGCTCCTCAGTAGGGGCTAATTACCTTGATCCTCATACTCCTCCTCATTTTCTTAGGCAGATAAAATTTATTTGAATTTATTATAAATTAGATGTAAATAACTTTAGTATCTATTCCACATTCAACACGAAATTATCTGATAACCTGAAAGTATAAAATACTAAAGTTATATTTTAAGTAATCCATTTCATAAAAGCCTGCATACAACTTACCATGGACTTTCAGCTGCCCACAGATGTTCCATAAGACATGAACTCTTTCTAATAATTCATGTGAGTTTTTTGGTAACTATTCAATTAAAGAGAATAATGCAATTAATGAACAGTTATGAAAGCTGAGAAGTAACTGCAGAATACTATAAAAACTTGTAAATTTTAGTAGCTGGATGATTGCTTTTACTTTTTGTTCCTAGGTAATACTTTTGATGATTAGGTAATTTGATGATGATTTCCATAATGTTCCTAAATTGAATTATTTTTAACTCAGGACTTAGATATCTAAGTGAATTTTGTGGTTTCCATAAAAACGTTTGACTTTCTACAGGAAAGCAACATAATCTATGGGCAGAAGAGGGAAATTTTAAGAAATGCCATATAAGATATGGACTGAATTATTAAGTAATTTAACTCATCTGGCATTCATAACATCTACCATGTTTTAACCAATGTGCTAGGAACTTCTTACATGATGAATAAAACTTGTATTTACGATTTTATAGTCTAGTCAGTTAGTCAAATGTGTAAACAAATGAAAGTAACATAGTATGATGCCATAATAGATTATTTACTCAATTTGACAGAGAGTAAAGGAGGAAATACTTAACTCCGTCTAGGGAGATGTGCTTATTATGTAGAGTCTCAAATGATGAACAGGTATTTTTAGGTAAAAAAGAGTGAGAGTGAGAGAGAGAAGGAAAAAGGGAGAAAGACATCCAAGAAACAAAACATGTACAAAGGTGCGCAAAGGTGAGTCAGTATGAAATTGCCTAAGTATCAGAGAATAAGCTCAAATGTTCACAATTCACATTAAGGTAAACAAAGAAATTCTGGCACTAAGTATATCGGGAGAGAGATAGTAAGCCAATTAGATCTGGCCACGTAGTGGGGTTGTCAGAATTTTGAACACGCAAAACAGCAATCGAGGTTAAAATGATGGGTCATACTATCTGATTCAACTGTTATGCAAATCAATATGTAATTTAAACATGTGAAAAAGTTATTTTATTGAGAAATATGAGAAATTTATGACAGCACTTTCATATTTATAACTGGAATTGTGGTAGAGAACATACATTTACCAGGAACTCGTTTCTTCTAGTATTGCTTTGAAATGATAAGCCACTTCGTGACTCTAATCTATTGATTACAGAGATAAATAGGTTGCCCTGTTTTTACTGTTTTTGAGAATAGTGTGTAAGTGGTAACACAGAGAACATATTGCTCTTACTAGATTTATATATGTAAAATATGTATTGAATTTCCATTGTATAAAAGAGATATCTATGGCTTATGTCTTTTAAGTCTAAAGACCCTTTAGAGAGCCCAGTTACTAAAATCTAGTATCAGAAATATTTCTTAGGAAAAAAAAAAGGCAAGCTGTAGGTTTGTGGATAGGACCTATAGTGTGACATTTGTTATATGGTACATCAGTGGTATAAGTTCAGATTCTCTTGTAATGGTGTTTAACAGTTTAAGTGTGGTTTTATTTGCTGTATATATAATACTATTGTGTATATTAAGCATATTTTGAAATTATTTATGCCATGATTACCCTGATCTGAATTTCTGATGCATTCTATTGAAAAAGTATGCCGTTCAAGATTTTCTCTCTCTCTTTCTTTCTTAATTTAAGGGTCTTAGTTTTACACGTTGATAATGTCCATGATTCAGTATGTACAACTACTAAAGAACAGTTTTGTATTGATTTGGTGTTTTGTTGTTTTTGTTGCAGAGAAGTTTCCTCATCTCAAAAAAGTGAGAATAATTATAGCACTTACCTCATTGGGTGGTGGTAATGAGTTAATATGCATAAAGTGTCTATATTAGTGACTGTACTTTTTAATCTCTACATAATTGGTTGTTTTTACTGTAATTATATTCTCATTTTAAGGACAACATAAAGTATTACTCATATTAGAGTATTTCCTCAGTTACAGTATCCTAAGCCATTCTCTTTCTTCAGTGTTTCTGAAAGAAATATGAAAAATTATTTCACACCATATTGAAGCCTGTTCCATAAACTTTCAGCACTGAAATTGAATATGCATTTTATGATCTCTCCTCTTCTTGTGTACAGATTTCATTTAATTTTTTATATTCAGAGAAAATAAACTAGTATTTTAAGGGAAAAACAGGATACAAGAGTTTCATAATAATTAAAAGTAACTGTCAAAACTGATTTAGACTGATTATTATCACTGGGTATGCCAGATGAAATATTTTCATTTTCTGGCAATCATGATTCTGCAAATGTCATTAAATATTTCTAAATACTTTTTTTTTTCAGTTTAACTCTATTTATTTATTTATTTATTTATTTATTTATTTATTTTAATACCCATCACCAGGCTAACCCATCCCCCCGCCCCCCTCCCCTCTAGAACCCTCAGTTTGTTTTTCAGAGTCCATCCTCTCTCATGGTTTGTCTCCCCGACCTACTTACTCCCCTTCATTCTTCCCCTCCTGCTATCTTCTTCTTTTTCTTTTTTCTTAACATATGTTGCATTATTTTAATTTGATATTTTAAGGTCTTAAACTAAGGAACTTCTCAGGAGAGATTAAGTAAGAATCTATGGAATTTTAGGTCAAGATAATTGGTAACTGCTAAGACTTAAGTTGAAGAAAGAAACCTCTGGTACTTTTTTGTTCTGCTATACTAGGGTACTTAAGTATCCAATTTTTGCCTAGAAGATTCTGTGTAAAACTTAGGTTACATGTTTGTTTTCTCAAAATCAGAATATAAGAAATCCACAAAATCCCCTTAATGGAAAGCAAAGACTAAATTTGTACTGTGTATTTATCAACCAAAGAAATTCAGGGTTTTAAGCAACTTATTCAGTGTCTTAATTTTAAAAAACAGCATTTCCCTATAACGTTGACAATCAGTCCAGGTCTTTTAAAACTAAATCTTATTTTTTAAACACAGGAACAATTTGGGAAATATTTATGGTTGAACATAGAGAACAGATGGTAAAGTTATGTGAACCTCGTCCAGATGTGTAATTTGTATTATTTTGTAGGTAGATATAGCTCCAAAATATCTTTAGTTACAAGGGAGAATAATTATAATTCCGTCTCCTTTGTGACATGCCAAGATAAATGTGTTTCCCAATCAGTCACGGGTGCATGTGTCCAGGTGTGCTGCAACGGGTAACTTTCTGGCAGCTGGTGAAATGAATCATCGGCTGAACATACAACACCTTTTACTATCCCCCTCCACCTAGGCAATAAAATTTTGCTAAAATTGTGACCTAATAGAAAAAGTGATCATTAATTTAGATCACTGAAAATAGCAATGTGATTTAAAATATACAGAATGTAGAATAAGGTTTCATGATCACAATTGACTATCCTTTACATATAATTTAATTTCGGTGGAAATCTTTCAAATTACCTAATGTCACTCTATGGAGTAATTTCGGAAGTGCTGTTATGAGCATGACTTATAGTACCGTTCTCTAAATGTTAAAACAAGTGAGAGGTAAACTGGGAGATTAATGGAATCAAAATAACTAGCTCCTGACTTCTTTCTTGTATTATGTCTCACTTTCTCTTTAAAGCTTGTAAAACACTAATCCTAAAAATTGGGGTAAAATTCCGGCTATATGATTACATTTATAATGCTAAAAATGTTCCCAGTGTCTTTTTGTAATGTTTTCTTCTCTAAGAGTAGTTTTGGATCTAAGGAAGTATCAGTCCTTTAAGAGGCACTTAACATATTTATGTAAAATGACAGTAATTATTGTGGAAATTTTTGTAACATTTTGTAATTATCTATAGCATGGTGGCTGACTCCGTAAGAGCAAAAATAGTATTCTGAGGAACAAGAATGTCCGAAGTTTGGACCATGAAGGTGACAGAATCCCAAAGAATATCTGAATTTTAAAATGTCCCCCCATCAAATGAAATGCCTGGTAGTAGTAAGGATGGCTAATGTGTACCTTCTTTTTTAAACACCGAAGTGTTTTTCTTCGCAAATATAATGAGTTTTGCCTTATGACATTACTTGTGTGGAGACTGTGCAATCTATCATTGTTCCCAAAGTTACACAGTGCAAAGAACATATCATTGAGATGTATAATGTTTGTAATCCTGCTCTTCAATTGATCAATCATGTCTTGTGTTGAGGAAAGCCAAGAAATGAATTGCTTTACTTTGACCTTGGGGGTCTGAGATTAGTCGGTTTGTCTATTAGACTTGTTCCAGTGTTCTTCTCACTTCATTTATTCCCTCTGTCTTCAAGAGTTGGAAATAGTCGACTTGGTGGAAGTCAGTAAAGCTTGATATCATCAGTCATTTTTAAAGAACAGGCTATCAACATGGTCTGAATAATCAACTTTAATAGAAGGTTTAAATAATCAGAGTGTCATGTTTAATTAATACTTTGCCTGCTTCCAATTTATATTAATTGATGCCTGAAAGTCATCACACCTTGTACCAACGATAACTTAGAAGAAGAGAAACTTGGCTTGGGGAAGATGCCCAAAGACCTTTATTTAGGGCAGTGTGATCGATCAGACTGGTTCATAAATGGTCCATGATCACGTTATTTGCGTTCAGTTCAGATATTGCCATCTTAAATTCTTATGTGTTTCTATCCTTATTGATTAATATTAAGTCAGTGTAAAGGCATTTCTTAATAACATTATACTGTTTTATAAGGCCTATTGCTTACAGGACATGTAAAACTGTTAACCTGATTA